GGGACCTTCCAGATGAGTGTTGACCTGGATGTCTCATCAGTCAAACCTGAAGACTGGCACAGATACAGATGTGTGTTTCAGCTCTCTGGTGTGAACGAGGACATCGTCACCAGACTGGACAAATCAGAGATCAAGACAAATGAAAGTAAGTCTGGAATCAGAAGTGATTAAAGTGAAAAATATAAATTTTAAGAGTCCTGCAGTTCATGTGGTTTTATCTGTTAAGTTCCTCTTCAGTCTGTAACACTGATATATTATACAAACATACATGGATCATCGTGTGAGTTCTTCCTTACTTCCTAAAAATATTTTTCCCCATTAAATGTTTTGAAAGCTGTAAAGCAGATATTTTTTTATCTAGCATAGCTCTTTATTGCTGTCCATTCACTGTTTACTGAGCTTTGATGAATACAGAACCTCATCAACATACTTTTTTGTTGAGCTTTGTATTTAAATATTTCTTTACTTTTGTGCTTATAGAGACAAAGTTTGCAAGCCTGTGATATGCTAAAGTGGATTCTGTGTTTGTCGTACAGCTGCTGGTCTTTTATTTTCTTAATATTTTTTCCATTATTTTTATCTAGGTGAAACTGATTATTCTCTTTACTGCCTCAGTTTGATTTGTTTGTTGTTGTTGATCTTCAGCACCTACAGGAAATAACCTCGCCATCATCATTGCCATTTTTGCTGTGGTTCTTGTCCTCGGCGCTGTGAATGGAATCATTGTCTACAAAAAGAAAACAAGTGAGGGAGAAAAACAGAAAAAAATTTTTTTTAGTTAATGCTCTTATACAAAAGTGTATAAGCAGCACAGGCACAGTGTCATGGAAATATGAATTACATTATAATACAACAAAAGAAATGCATGAAATATTATAACTATGAGAGTTTAAATTATCTTTATTTTCTCTTTTATTTCAGGCAGATGCTTCTTACAGCCTCGTAAGTAAAACTAGTGTCTGTTTTCTCTTATATCTTAAACATTCTGTAGATCACAAAGTATTTTTCTGTATTTTATGGTAAATAACTTTTTCAGGACTGTTTCTGATAAAGTGTAAGTTCAGACAGGATGTGGACTAACAATGTGTTTCTGAACTTTTACAGCTATGAAGGATCCTGCGGTTAAGGAGCCACTGAATCCTGCTCCAACAGTCTAAATGACAAACAACCTTCCACACAGTGAGTTACTTAACTTTAAACAAAGCTGTTAAACTGTTTCTTTATTTCTGTAAACTGCTGCAACACATTGTAGCTGCACCAACACTTTCAGTTACTTTTCATCAAAAGTGTCTAAAAGTCAAATTATAGTAAGTTATATTATTAAAAGGAAGACTTTTTTCTGAAAAATTCACATCTGTTTGCCAGTTAAACTTTAAAGTTTTATCAAGTACAAACAGTGACAACACAACATTAATGAACTATTTATTAACTAATGTATAATAAAACTGTGCCAGATTAAAACAAATGTTTATGCTCACAAAGTTTTCTAATCAAATATTTGACTGAACCAGAGTTCTTTTATGTGTAAATGATTTTTATCAGTAAATATGTAGCAGATATTTATTCTAAATCACTGTTTTAACAAAATCTTAATGTTGTTTAATTTTTGTCTGCAGGTTTATGGAGATATATTGCATTCGGGCCAACACTCCCTTCTCCACTTCAGCAGCAAGCAGGCACACCGAGGGCTCTCGCGCTCACTTTTCACGTTTCGAAAAAACATCAGTGCAAATTATAAGTCTGTATCATGATGTCCGGTGTTTTCATGTTTGTTAAATAAATGGTAAATGGCCTGTATTTGTATAGCACTTTACTAGTCCCTAAGGACCCCAAAGCGCTTTACACTACATTCAGTCATTCACCCATTCACACACATTGTTGTTTTGTTTTTATTTAGTTTTATTTTGCGAGTTGGTCATTAGATGCTGCTCCAGCCAGCCAGAGAATCCCCCGCTGCCCTGCCCTCTCCTCCCTGTGCCACAAGCAGCAGGCGCACCTCGCAAACGGAGGAAGCCCTTACTCCCAGCAAATGGGCGATAGAAAACTGATCGGTGCCTATGCCATTCCCAATATGCGGTGGCAGATGTCGGGGCAGCATGAGTACGAGCAATTTTAATTTTTTAATTTATTTTTTTTTTTGCCGATGCCGCCCCCCACCATTATGCCGCCCCGGACAACCGCCCGTGTCGCCCGTATCAAAAACCGCTACTGCTCAGTGATAAAGGAATCATAATAATATATTTCTAAATCTAAATCTTGTACGTTAAATTTGATTTAAAAGACAAACTTGTGTTGAATTCCAGGAGACCTTAAAAGATTTTACTTTATATCTGATTTATTTCTTAATTAATGAAGATTATGTTTATTCTCTGTTTGATTTAAGATATGTTTTGAGTGTTTTTGATTTTAGAGTTTAGTTCATGTTGAGATTCTGGAGGGTTGTCTGGGTTATGTTTTTAACACATTGGTGGGTTTGTTTCTGTTTATATATCACTAAAACTGCATTGCTCTTTCTCTCCTTTTTGTACTTTTGCTTTTCAATAAAGTCCCAAATAATCCAAATTTCTGTGACTTTTTTTAAAATAAAATGTACACTTGGCTAAAGTTTCATGAATCCAGCCCAAATATTAATGGGTTAGCTACAATTTAACTTGATAGTAGCTCAGTAAGCTTAGGTGTAATGATGCCAGCTCCAGTCCATTAAGTGTCCTTGTGACAAAAGTATTGTGTGTGTGTTGTATTGTGGTTCGATGTTTGCTTTTGTGGATGTTTATTTTTTTCATTTGGTTTACCAACACGAGACTTGACAATTTGCATATGATGAAGGAACTGACCTCACAGCCCATTGTTCCTTCAGTGGGCTGGTTTCAGCTATTGTGCAAATGTACTGTTTATAAGATTGGGGAAACCTGCAGTCAGCTGAGACTGAAGAAGTCACCTGGATGAGTGACGAAACGTTTCTCCCACTGAAAACTACGTCCAGATGAACAGAATCAACCTTTTGGGAACACCACACTTTATAGACTTGTGCTTTCCAGAATGGTGCCTGAATCAGGTAGAGTATAAAAGGAAGCCAGCTGCTTTTAGAGGGGTTGGGTTCTTTGGCGTGTGTTGGCACGTAAACTCATACTTTATTTAATAAAGCCTACCAGTTGATGGCAAAATTTAATTCCAGTCTCATGCCATTTTGTTTGAACTGACACATGACCGCCAGCCAGCTTGACGGAGTTTAAAAGAACTGTTAGTGCAGAGATTTTGAAACAATGTTTGCCGAACATTAATAATCAAGGCTTCTTAAAACCAAATGGTGTTACATCTATAGCCACTGTTTGGTGTTTTAACAGTGTAAGGCTTGAGATGCTCTCAGCCACATGTCTCAGATTATTTTAGTTGCTGATAGTTTAGCAGAAAATCTACACTGAACCCTTCAAGCCAGTAGATCCACAGTATGAATAAATATGATTGTAAACAAAAAGCAAACTGATAACAATTTAATGATTCAGATTTAGTCCTGTGAAATTTACATTTATATGTATTTATGCTTTACATATATATCACATATATAATTTATTCAGAAACAGACTTTGCACATTCAAAACATGAGAGGACAATAAGTGCTGCGAAATTATTTATATTTTGATCTAAATGCTCCTTCATCCTACAAGCAAAACTAATTTCCATGTGCTCTGAACTCCAATGTGAGATTTAAAAGGTGTTTCTTTCAAAAATGGTAGTATTATGTTTAATGTTAGTAAAACTGTCAGGTTAGATTAGTATGTTTCTGAGTTTAAGGCTGAGGTCCAGGAGAAACTAAATCCAAAAGCTGAGTGACAAAAAAAAACCCTGAGCACAGTGAGCTGCACCAAAGCTTTAAAAAAAATCATTCTTAAAGCACTGGAAAAAGACTTTACTGATATTTTTAGTCTCTATAAACTCTAAATTGTTCTGACTAACAAAATCTTTTGCACCAAAAAAGCAGCTATATTAGAAATGAAAACATTTATTATAATCAAATTTATTTATTTGTACTCTGAAAGAAACTTTTTAAAATTATTTAAGAAAAAATTTCTGTATATAAATCTACATTATACTTAAATGTTGAAGTATCCAAAGATGATGACCTTGCCTGGAACAATATTTTAATATTTAAGGAAAAGAAACTAAAACTTTACAAAATTAGAAAATACTTTATATTCTGAGGTCTCGTTTCTCATCTCACATGACTTAATTCAAACACTTTCCATCCAGAATGTCAGGAAGTGTAATAATGTGTCAGTGCTTACTGACAAAACTCTCTGTAAAACCACTCGGGTCAGTTCTGATTGGACAGGATTTTTCAGCCTGAGGTCACTATTTAAAAAAGCAAAATCTGTGTCTGCGTTAGTACTACATGTAGAGCTCGCTTCTTGGTTTAACTCCATCTCATCCCAGTGTATTTCTCAGATGGAGTTAAACTGGGATTAATAAAAAATCAAACAAACAATACATGTAAATACCTGATTTTGCTGTCTGTCTAAGTTTATCTGTGGTAACGATGTGATATTAGCTGTTAGTACAGTGGTATGCAAAAGTTTGGGCACCCCTGATAATTTCCATGATTTTTCTTCATAAATCATTGATTTTTTTGGATCAGCAATTTCAGTTAAATATATCATACAGCAGACAAACATAATGATATTTGAGAAGTGAAAAGAAGTTTATAGGATTTACAGAAAGTGTGCAATAGTTACTTAAACTAAATTAGGCAGGTGCATAAATTTGGGCACCCCAACAGAAATATTACATCAATATTTAGTAGATCCTCCTTTTGCAGAAATAAAAGCCTCTAAATGCTTCCTACAGCTTCCAATGAGAGTCTGGATTCTACAAAACATCTCCAGTTCAGTCAGGTTTGATGGTTTCCCAGCATAGACAATCAGCTTTAACTCACACAATAAATTTTCGATAATATTCAGGTCTGGGGACTGAGATGGCCGTTCCAGAACATTGTACTTGTTCCTCTGCATGAATGCCTTAGTAGACTTTGAGCAGTGTTTAGGGTCGTTGTCTTGTTGAAATATCCAGCCCCGGCCAAACTTCAACTTTGTGACTGATTCTTGAACATTGTTCTCAAGAATCTGCTGATACTGACTGGAATCCAAGCGACCATCAACTTTAACAAGATTCCCAGTCCCTGCACTGGCCACACAGCCCCACAGCATGATGGAACCGTCACCACATTTTACTGTGGGTAGCTGGTGTTTCTCTTGGGATGCTGTGTTCTGTTTCCGCCATGCATACCGCCTCTTGTTATGTCTAAATAACTCAATTTTAGTTTCATCAGTCCACAGCACCTTATTCCAAAACGAAGCTGGCTTGTCCAAATGTGCTTTAGCAAACCTCAAACGACTCTGTTTGTGGCATGTGCACAGAAAAGGCTTCTTCTGCATTACTCTCCCATAACAGCATCTCCTTGTGCAAAGTGCGCTTAATAGTTGAACGATGCACAGTGACACCATCTGCAGTAAGATGATGTTGCAGGACTTTGGAGCTGGTCTGTGGGTTGACTGTGACTTTTCTCACCATCCTTTGCCTCTGCTTATCTAAGATTTTACTTGACCTGTCACTTCAGGCCTTGACTAGAACTGTGCCTGTGGTCTCCCATTTCCTCACTATGCTCCTCACAGTGGAAGCTAACAGCTGAAATCTCAGAGATAGCTTTTTGTATACTTCTCCTAAACCATGATGTTGAACAATCCTTGTTTTCAGGTCATTTGAGAGTTGTTTTGAGGCTCTTCAGAGAAGATGCAATGAGGAGAAAAACTTGCAATGGGCAGTCATAAATACCCTCTCTCATGATTGGATTCACCTGTGTATGTAGGTCAAGGGTCAATAAGCTTACCAAACAAACTATGTGTTCCAATAATCGGTGCTAAAGGTCAATCAATAAAACAATAAGGGTTCCCAAATT